ATATTTTCAACATCAATGCCAAAATCTCACAATTTCTGCCAGGGTATGCAAACTTTTGAGCACAATTGTACCTGAATTATTTCAGCCATTTTTGTCTGTGACCTTAAAAATTCAGCACGGAACAAACTAGGAAAAAGCGGGACCTGGATTAGCCAGGGTTGACTGTATAAAAAATGTAAATAAAATGCATTATCTTCACACACACTACTGATTATCTGTACACAAAATCTATTCTCCTTTCTTTCCTCAAGTAGATTTCAATTACTCGACATGGAGGCTAAAGCTGAAAATCAAATCTGTCCAGTCGTATTTCTGGCATAAGCTATTGTACACCTGCTAGATGGGCCCAGTGTAGCCAACTCAACATCTGACTGGGCAAAACAATAGTTTCATTGCCATTTGCTGTAAGCTACAGGAGTCAGCACTGTTGATTCTGAAGGCCTCATGGCAGATTTCTTTAACCCTGACAACACATAATGGCTATCATGGCTGAAATATTGTATGATTGGATAGCTCCAACATAAACTTACACTACTGAAAGCAGTGCAGCCAAGTGAAAAGCTATGAAATGAAGTGAAAAGACTATTGGGAATAATTCAAAACACATTCAAATATATTAAAACACAAGTAAAGGACCATCCTATGGCAGAACTACTGCTACAGGGCAGCAGGGCTGCACAAAATCACACACATATATATATATATATATATATATATATATATATATATATATATAGTTGTGTTCAAAATAATAGCAGTGTGTTGAAAAATGTAAATAAAGCTCAAAATCCTTCTAATAGCTTTTATTTCCATACACACAAATGCATTGGGAACACTACACATTCTATTCCAAATCAAAACATGAAGAAAAATAGATCAAATTTGTGTTGTTCCTCTAAACAAAGTGAAGAAAAGTGAATATTAGACTGTTCAAAAAAATAGCAGTGTTTGTATTCTTCTTTACAAACTCAAACATTCACTATATAAACTGAAAAATGTTTGAAGATTTTGCTTTCCTTTGAATCACTTAATGAATATTTGGTTGTAGTCGCACTGTTTCTGAGAACTGCTGTACATCTGTGTTGCATGGAGTCATCCAACTTCTGGCACCTGTGATCAGGTATTCCAGCCCAGGATGATTGGACTACATTCCACAGTTCTTCTCTATTTCTTGGTTTTGCCTCAGAAACTGCATTTTTGATGTCACCCCACAAGTTTTCTATTGGATTAAGATCTGGGGATTGGGCTGGCCACTCCATAACGTCAATCTTGTTGGTCTGGAACCAAGATGTTGCACATTTACTGGTGTGTTTGGGGTCGTTGTCTTGTTGGAACACCCATTTCAAGGGCATTTCCTCTTCAGCATAAGGCAGCATGACCTCTTCAAGTATTCTGATGTATTCAAACTGATCCATGATCCCTGGTATGCGATAAATAGGCCCAACACCGTAGTATGAGAAACATCCCCATATCATGATGCTTGCAACACCATGCTTCACTGTCTTCACAGTGTACTGTGGCTTGAATTCAGTGTTTGGGGGTCATATGACAAACTGTCTCCGGCCACTAGACCCAAAAAGAACAATCTTACTTTCATCAGTCCACAAAATGTTGCGCCATTTCTCTTTAGGCCAGTTAATGTGCTCTTTGGCAAATTGTAACCTCTTCAGCACGTCTTTTTTTCAACAGTGGGACTTTGCGGGGGCTTCTTGCAGATAGCTTGGCTTCACATAGGCGTCTTCTAATTGTAACAGTACTCACAGGGAACTTTACACCTTCTTTGATCTTCCTGGAGCTGATTGTTGGCTGAGTCCTTGCCATTTTGGCTATTCTTCTATCCATTCGAATGGTAGTTTTTCGCTTTCTTCCACGTCTTTCAGGTTTTGGTTGCCATTTTAAAGCAATTGCAATCATTTTAGCTGAGCAGCCTATCATTTTCTGCACTTCTTTATATGTTTTCCCCTCGCCAATCAACTTTTTAATCAAGGTACGCTGTTCTTCTAAATAATGTCTGGAATGACCCATTTTCCTCAGAATTTCAGAGAGAAATGCACTGTAACCAGCATATACAACATTTGCTGCCTTCCTTCTTAAATAAGGGCAATAATTGCCACCTGTTTTTCAAAGAATGAATGACCTCACTAATAGACCTCCACATTGCTATTATTTTGAACATGCCCCTTTCAATGAGTGATTTAATTACACAGAATCAGCAGCATCTATGTCATGACTGTTGGATCTGTTGGATTTCTATTACTCGACTACACCTGCTAGTAAATTATTTGCCATGCAGAAATATAATTTCTACCAAAAACAGTGATTGATCAGGTTAGTGACGACTGACTGCTATTATTTTGAACACAACTGTATATATATATATATATATATATATATATATATATATATATGTGATTTAGCATTGATTTAGGTCAAGCGAGCGTGGGAGCCATTCAATGATATCAGTTCTGTCATCCTCCAAGAACTGCCTGCATACTCTCACCACATGAGGCCGGCCAGGTATTGTCGTGCACCAGGAGGAACCCAGGACCCACTGCACCAGCGTAGGGCTTGACAATGGGTCCAAGGATTTCATCCCGATACCTAATGACAGTCAGGGTGCCATTGTCTAGCCTGTAGAGGTCTGTGCGTCCCTCCATGGATATGCCTCCCCAGACCATCACTGACCCACTACCAAACGGTCATGCTGTACGACTTGGCAGGCAGCATAACATTCTCCACGGCTTCTCCAGACCCTTTTAAGTCTGTCACATGTGCTCAGGGTGAACCTGCTCTCATCTGTGAGAAGCACAGGGCGCCAGTGGTGGACCTGCCAATTCTGGTGTTCAGTGACAAATGCCCATCAAGCTCTATGGTGCCGGGCAGTGAGCACAGGCCCTCTAGAGGTTTCTCATGAAGTCTGTTTCTGATTGTTTGGTCAGAGACATTTACACCAGTGGCCTGCTGGAGGTAATTTTGTAGGGCTCTGGCAGTGCTCATCTTGTTCCTCCTTGCACAAAGGAGCAGATACTGGTCCTGCTGAGGGGTTAAGGACCTTCTACGTCCCTGTCCAGCTCTCATCATAGAGTAACTGCTTGTCTCTTCTAGTCTCCTCCATGCTCTTGATGTGCCATCCTGGAGGAGTTGGACTGCCTGTGCAACCTCTGTAGGGTCCAGGTACCACCTCAGGCTACCAGTAGTGACACTGACCCTTGCCAAATGTAAACCTAGTGAAAAGCAGTCAGAAAAGATGAGTAGGGAAAAATATGTCAGTGGCCTCCACCTATAAAACCATTCCTGTTTTCTGGGTCGTCTCATGATTGCCCATCCAGTGCACCTGTTGTTAATTTCATTAACACCAAAGCAGCTGAAACTGATTAACAGCCCCCTCTGCTACTTAACTGACCCGATCAATATCCCAGGAGTTTAATTGACTTGATGCTATACTCTGATTAAACAGTGTTCATTTCATGTTTTTGAGCAGTGTATATACTGCTGAGGAAGAGTGGTGAGTGAACAGCTGAGTATACAAAAGTGCAAAAGAAGAGGTGGACCAACCTAGTCTGTATGGGAATGTTGCAATGAGTCCTATGTGAGGAACACAAGTGCTATATGACCTTACTTAAACGTTCGGTCATATACTCCAGGTGAGAGTACATCTGGTGGAGGGAATCCACATTATTCATATTGCATGGCACGAAGTGATGATCAAGTGGTTGAGGAACTTATATACATATATATATCACATTGAAGATTGTGTCTTCAGTGCATTGTGGATGTTGCACATATAGAGCGGTTACTGGACTGATATATTTCATCACAATTTTATTTGTATAATTTCTTGCATAAGATGCTTGAATAGAGTGAAGCATGGCACATTTTGGGTTATTATCTGAGTTACAAAACTCATTATATCTGAGAGTTTGTATGGTGTGGACTTTTATTAGAGACTTGCAGCATAGCAGCTCACAAGGTTTTTCGCTTTCAAAATCGATAGTGGTCGTGTGGGCATTTTGAAATCTTTACACATTGGAGTCAAATTGCCTGAATTTTGGGATTCCATTTGATTCCCCCCTGGGGGGGAGCTTTCTAGATAAGATTTGGATGTGATCCTTATGTTTATGGAGATCTTGCATCCTGAATCAGGGCCAACAGGGCAACATAGTTGACATAAATAAGAGGATTTCCTGATTACCATCTCCATGATTGTGTTCTGTGTGGATATATCCTGGAATATTATGTGGGTATCAATGTTCAATTCAATTGACATCTTAATGTACAGTATATGGATAACTGTTCTACCACATATAACCCTGAGGATGAACTTCATGAATTGTTTATCATTTGCATTCTACGCATTGCCTCAGGTTAATGAAAGGAACTGTTTCAATCTACTCCCAGTATTTGCTCTAATAATGTATCCTTTCCTGTTCCCATGTGATATGAGGATTTATGATGCTCAAGAATAATGTTGGACTACTTGACCTATATAGTTTCATGGTGCATGGTTGCGACTTTCTATTTTTTAATACATATGGGGGTCATTTACTAAAACTTATGTTTTGTGATATGAGGATATATGATGCTCAAGAATAATGTTGGACTACTTGACCTATATAGTTTCATGGTTCATGGTTGTGGCTTTCTATTTTTTTTTAATACATATGGGGTTAATGTACTAAAACTTGAGAGTGTAAAATCTGGTGCAGCTCTGCATAGAAAATCAGCTTCCAGGTTTTATTGCCAATGCTTAATTAAACAAACTAAAGTTAGAAGCTGATTGGCTACCATGCACAGCTGTATCGGATTTTACACTCTCAAGCTTTAGTTAATAACCCTCATAATCTTTCGAGAGATGCCTAAAGCTATTATTTTATAGTAATGTACTTTTATTGTAATGTAGTGTTTTTGCTACCGAACATCTATCTGATATACTGTATAAAATGTCTGATGCATTGCCTACCAAGTATAATCTTTTTTTTCCTTTTTGTAGCAATGAAGCCTCTTACCTTGCGGAAATGTTTGGTCCAATGTGGATGATTAAAGTCTATACCTACGAGTTTCAAGTTAGTATAATATTTGCAATGGGTAAAGAAACATTTATTTTTCATAATCTGTGTTTGCTAATAGCAGTCGTCTTGCTTGCATTTCCTTCCTGATGGGTAAGCATTACATGTGCTCAGTACAGGGTATATTAGGAGGTTCATTGCTAGTTCAGATCAGCATATTCACTGAGAGATTAACTGCAGTAAATTGAGCAAAAAGAGAACAATGATCCACAGTGCAATGAGCTGTAGTCAGATGTGAGATGGGATATACCCTCAGACTGCAATGTTGAAGGTTAAATTGTAGATTATTCTTACTCTAGGCATCAATAACATTTGTTTCTTATATGTTTTATATGTAGAAAGCATCCTGCTGCTTCTGTTGTCCTGAACAAGACGAAGAAAGAGGTAAGGAAACTTTGAAGTGTTTTTATGTCTTTGAGGCTCAAATGTATTAACCTTTTCTTGGGTTTAGTTCAGCCCACCTCATGTTGACCAGAATTTGTCCTGACACTGTAGGTAGGGTTCAATGAACCCTATGAGAAAAGTTCAGGACAGTATACATGAATGATAGGACCAGTCCTTCAGAAGGAAGGATCAAAGAACGTTTGCTTTATACAAGTAGGCCTAACCTAAAATCCAGTGCCAATGCATGGGTTGCCCCAGATAAGTTGCTGAGACTACTGGCTGGTGAAAGAGCTGCATGTTTTTAACTTAAAGTATTAAACCCATAAACAAAAATGTATTACATTGCAGCTTACTTCTTACATGTGATGACTGCATATTCTTTGTTTTCCGGTGACTCGGCCAAGAGGTCTTTTATTTTTCAACTTCCTTTAAGAGCAAAAATGACAGAGAATAGAGACAGCAGCGCCACTGTGAGTGTAGACGGTTAAAATCAGGCAGATTTGATGGTAAAATTGCACTCACATAGATGGGTAACAAGTAGGCATGTCAAGTGATGGAGGTCCAGTGGGAGCATCAGGTCATTTGGCCATGCTCTGGGTGTTTTCCTGCCACTCCGGTGGTGTCCAGGGCACGGGGAGTAGCAGAGGGGCACAGGGAGGCTCGTAGGGATGATGTCACCGCATGGACCGGGTTTCCAAGATGGTGCGCTTTCAGAGCATGCTCACTCCTTCGTCAGGCCGATCATCATCCCTGCGAGCCTCCCTGTACCCCTCTGCTACTCCCCTAGCCCTGGACACCACCGGAGCGGCGGGAAAACAGCTGAGTTCATGCATGAGACATTCACACAGTGAATTATTTATAAAAAGACCCCTTATCACTTGTGTGACAGACCCAACCGGGACAAGGGCTTTTGGAGGGTACTATGGGCTAGCCTTCTACCCACTGATTATGGCCCATGGAGGAGAACAGGGATTTTTTCTGATTCTCCTCGTCAGAACATGGAGGAGAGCTGGGTCCTGAAACCCTTTCACTGGCCGGGAGGATCTACCGGAATTATGAAGCCAGGAAGTCCCCAGAACAGTGGTGTGTCTGCAGGAACACAGTGTTGGACAGATTGTGCAGACGCACCTTTACCAGCCAGGGATATGGAACTCTTCTTGGGCATATTTCTTATCTTGCTCCAGCTGGTCCCCGAGAGCTGTATAATGTAGTATTTGTCCATTTTGCCATGGCTACTACCAACTTTATACTGTTACCCTTTTATACTATTCTTGCCAAAGATGTGCTACTTGGTATCCTAGATCTGAGCTGGATCTGGGGTGGGACATTAAAACTTCAATCACCTGAGCGATTTTCTGCTTGAAGCTTGTAGCTCTAAAACGCTCAAAAGCCCAATCCCATTTACTTCAATGAACCCTATTCACATATGAGCGTTCTGTCACCTGAAGCAAAATGCCTGTCGCGTACATAAAAAGCACATGAGATTCTTTTTGGCAGATTACAAGCATTTTTGGCCCCATATACTTCAATAGAAATGCCTGAAAATGTGTGACTTGAGCGTTTTTTGCTCAAACAGGAATGCCCGAAGCTGTAAAACGTTTGTAATACACTTCTATAAAAGATCAAAAACGCTGAAATAAAAACGCCAGTACATTTTTACGCTCACATGTAAATGCAGCCTTAGAAACGAGTGGAGGAAATCATGGATTAAAGATAAAAAAAAAGCTGGACATTTAAAGTACGGCAAAACTAGCAGATTTTTTGGGCACAATAAGACACCACACAATAATATACATACAACCATTTATTAGCATAAAAGAGTCATATACCATGTATGAGACTCACGATACATACATAACCCCCAAAAAGGGGGCAAAGGGGAAAGGGACACAGGTAATTACAAAATAACTCCCTTGCGTACATCATAGTCACCTAAAACATAGGTATCAGATACAGAGTAAGAGAGCAAAAATGGTCAACGCGTTTCACCTGTACATTGGGCTTCTTCAGGACCGTAGCTTGAATGTAAGGGAGAATAGTGCTATTGCATATAAAAACATGAATATTAGGTCTACAGACAAATACGTTGAAATACATACAATGAACAAAAATTACTTATTGTGCTTACATGAAAGCACAGCAGGCCAGCGGCAAAGTAGTATGGGGAGCAGCATAAGAGACCAGGATACAGGCAAGAAAAAAAAGATTCAAGGGCGAAATATTTTATAAATAGATCCTATAGAGGAAAAATATATGACACCACCAGCATATATACCAAAGTACTTCAGTCAGGCATCTACATAGATTGTATGGGCCAGAACTCACAATAGTCGTACACTATGTCCACTTCCAAGAGAGACACAAAACCCTACATATATGGAGGTTAGGAAGGTCACAAGCAGGGACTCCTGAAGATGATGCTAGGCCTACAAAATAATCGTGTGTTAATAATATAGATGGGGTAGGGGTAATATACTATATCTCAAAAAAGGAACCATACACTTGTATGAGGGGCCAATATGCAAATGGACAGGCAAGCAGAATTTCAAGATAAAATCTTGTGGTGAAAAAGACCAGATGTAATGGCAGGATCAACGGCCCAATATTTGATATGGTGCATAAAAAAGAGATAAATTACTGTATGCCATGCAACAGGGAGTATTTAACAATAAGCAAATAACCTCAAAGGGATAAAGAGCCAATGTCAAATCTAATACTTCACTTAATGTAATACTTAATGTGGAATCCATATAAATAGAACGCGTACTAAGTTTGCACCAAGTCCCTATTAGACGGCCCCCTAAAAAAAGAACCATAGACATTAGGGGCCAATATGTACAGATCACAGGCTAGCACCTTAAGAAATGGAACCTACACAGAGCAATCCAAAAAATACATATCGTGAATCTCTAGCACCACTGGGTACACCCCCCCCCCCTGTGCCAAACATTGGCGGCCGTGTGTGAAACACTGTGCCAAACACCAAGATGGCGTGGTGTACACCTGCACTAAATGTGACTGCACACACAACGTCGATTGCACATCACGCCAACTGAGCTACGCGCATGTGCCGAACACGAGCAGCGCAGGCGCACTGACAGAGAGAACCCAGGGGACACACAAAACCGCACTAATGTCACCGTCCCAAAGGGGGGGGACAGCGGGCGCACCCAGATGACAACCACAGTCACCACTGCCTAACAGGACCAAAAGCCCAGAAATTAAACATCATAATAGTGTATTATAACCATGCGTAACAACATGCAATCAAATGTGCCCAATGTACAGGCGAAACGCATTGACCGTTTTTTGATCTCTTACTCTGTATCTGATACCTATGTTTTAGGTGACTATGATGTATGCAAGGGAGTTATTTTGTAATTACCTGTATCCCTTTCCCCTTTGCCCCTTTTTGAGGGTTATGTATGTATCGTGAATCTCATACATGATATGTGACTCTTTTATGCTAATATATGGTTGTATGTATATATTTGTGTGGTCTCTTACTGTGCCCAATAAATCTGCTAGCTTTCTGTACTTTCATTGTCCAGCCTTTTTTTTGTTATTGCTAGGATGTGGCACTAGGAAGCTCATTTGTTATTTTTAATGGATTAAAGAGACCAGGTGCTGAACATTCCAGAAGTGCTGTAGGCACAGGACGATTTGGAGGCTCTAGCCGTTCAGGAATGGGAGCTGGAGATCGCCTTCAGACAGCTGTTAAACTCTGCTCAGCAGCTGGGCAGGACTCCCTTTGCCTGGGACTATCGGGAAGTACCAACTGACAGCTCTGAAATCACGGCCGAAGTGTCAGCAATGGGCCAGAGTAACAGTGTGGTTTGCCCACCTCTGCCTGCAGCTATGGGAGAAGAGCTCCTATGGCAGATTCAGCAGCTGTTGACTCACCTTAACAAACCTGCTTCTGTACAGGATGAGCTTGTAGGAATGTGTCTGTCCAGCAGCGGGACGGGTATCTGGGAACCAGCTCATCTCCCCAGTGGCAGTACGATGACCCAGGAGCAGAGGAAGCCGTCTCCCCTTCCCAGCATGGGTCCAGGCGCCTGGAAGACAGTGCCAGGGAGATGTCATCTCTGCAGATGGATGAGTATTCAGGAGACTGGGCAGGCGGCTCGGCTCCTCAGTGGCAGTCCAGGGGCCAGGGAGATGAGGGAGTCATCTTTCCTTGCAAGTGACAAGCCAAGGCCCAAGGTCGGACAGATTGTACCAGACGCACCTTCACTAGCCGGGGATATGGAACTCTTCTTGGGCATATTTCCTTTTTTGCTCTAGCTGGTCCTTGAGAGCTGCATAATGCAGCATTTTAAAATAATAACTTTTTCATACTATTTCTGTCAAAGATTTGCCACTTGGTAACCTAAAACCAAGCTGGATCTGGGGTGAGACATTTAGAAACGAGTGGTGTAATGTACGTTATGTATCCGGGACTGTTAAACGGTTTCTTGGCATTCTGGGGGGCATGCCCTGGCTGATCAAAACTTTTTAGTGGACATGTTTTCCATCACATAGACATGAGAGGCCGATCCGCTCTGTTCCCATGATTCCGGCCCAAAACATGACTCCACCACTGCCTTGCTGACGTCGCAGCCTTGTTGGAACAGGGTGGCCGTCCACCAACCATCCACTACTCTATCCATCTGGACCATCCAGGGTTGCATGGCACTCATTAGTGAACAGGACTGTTTGAAAATTAGTCTTCATGTATTTTTCTGCCCAATGCAGCCGTTCCTGCCTGTGAGCATTGGTTAGTGGTGGCCGAATAGAAGGTTTATGCACAGTTGCAAGACTCTGGAGGACTCTACATCTTGATGTCCGTGGGACTCCAGAGGCACCAGTAGCTTCAAATATCTGTTTGCTGCTATGTAATGGTATTTTAGCAGCTGCTCTCTTGATCCGATGCATGGATCTGGCAGAAATCTTCCTCAATGTGCCTTTATCTGCACGAACCCATCTGTGCTCTGAATCAGCCACAAATCTCTTAATAG